AGGCTGCCGGGAGCGCGGCCGCGCCGGGCACAGCCCCGACTTTTCTTGCCCAGAGTTATCAGCACGGAGTTCCTTAAAAGAATAGTTTGTTATTGTGGAAGGATCTTTGAAGGCAATCCTGGAGCTGTTAAGACATGATAAGGTTATCAGTGGAGGCATGCCTGCGTGGAGCGGCAGCCTTTCTCCCTGCGGGGCAATCGCTCTGCTATTTAACAGAGATTTATCCATGTCATAACATGGTATAATGAGAGAATTTGTTACCAAAGAACTTGCCGTAATGCACCTCTACTCTTCCAGAGCAGTTATATTTCCCAGGCATGTTGAGGACTGCCCGGGAATGTCTACATGAAAGGATCCTTTGACAGGAGTTGTCAGTATTTTAACACCTGGCAAGGAAGAGCCCCCCTCCAAATAACCCTTGTTTTGCCATGTTGTCTCCTCAAAACGAGGGTGTTCAACCCCCCGTCGCGCTGTGGGCGAGCAGGTTACGTGGCCGTGGCCGCGCAAGAGCTTCCTCTTCCAGCCGGGCCGAGGGAGGAACGGCCCGGCGAGGGGAGCCCGGCTGCCAGCTGCGGCACAGCCCTTGCTGGAGAGGCAGGGCTGCGCCCGCGGAGCCGAGGTGCCGTCAGCGTCACCACGTGCCGGGGCAAAACGGGGGGATTTCGGTGCCGGGTGGTGTTTCTGAGCATCCTCTCTCCACATGCCTCCAGGGCTGAGGGTTAGGGAATTCTTCTGACCGATTCGGCTGCACGTGTCCCCTCCCGATCGCGTGGCCGCAGCATCTTCCTGCTCCCCGTAGCGCTGACCCAGGACACGTCCCCCGCCCAGCTGGGAGCTGGGACCCGGGAAGCACAGATTGCTCCTGCAAACCCGCCGGGCGTGCCAGGCTGGGCTCACGGCCCTGGGAAACGAGAGCTGAGCCCCCCGTGTGCCCCCCGATGGCCTGGCACCCCAGGGCAGCAGCCAGCTTGCCCGCTGCAGCAACCCCGGCTCAGAACGCCCGCGGCTGCGGGAGAGCCGAGCACAGCGGCCTCGCTGGCCTCCGCACACCTGTATGGGGATGGCTCAGGACACGCTTTAACATCCTCCCAAATACTCTGCACGGTGGTATTTTCTTGGCATCGGGCGCGATGTTGTGGGGATGAGATAAAATCCTTTGAGCAGGAACATGCCCTGCCATGCAGGGACTGGCTTCTCGCTGTGCGCCAGGGGTGGGCTCCTGTATAGCAAACACATTCTTTGTGAGATGGAAAACAGCGTGGCACTGGCGAGGTGGAAGGGAATTGCAGATCCCCGCACCTGGGACCCGGGGCCGGCGTTTGCTGGAAGCGGGGGGACAGGCTCTGCCCTCCCCAGCTCCTCTGGAGGCAGCGTGCAGCCTCCTGCGGCTCCGGGGCCGGGGGCTCTGCGGGTGGGCACGCTGTCGTCCCCTTCCCCTTTTCGGTGGCCAGCGGGAGCCTCCCCCGTGCTGAGCAGGTCCGTGGTCCTCATGAGGGGATTCTGTGGTGGGCTCCTCAGCGAGCAAACCCCGGCGTGCTCTCGCCCCGCGCGGTTCAGGGAGCACGAACCCTCTTCTATCTCCGGGCGCTGCCTGCGGAGCATCCTCCAGCCCCCCGGCCACATCCCCTCTGTCCCCCGGCGCTGTCACTGCGAGCCGCTGCAAAGCTCCGAGTTGTGCTCAGTTCACACGGGCTAGTCAGAATTAACCCTTGAGGTCTTGCATAATTAGCTGTGATTCTGTTAATGACGTGATGCACAGTTTCCTTCGGCTGTGGTGCGTCGGCGCCCTCAGTGCTCCCAGCCCTCGGCTCAGGAGCTGTGTGCGGTGATGTTCCCAGAAGGGGCTGAGTGATGCCTGAACGAGGGTTGACGCTGATTTTCAGCCAGATTTCCTCGAAGTGATGGTCTGGCGGGGGCTCCCGCTTGGCCACAGCACTTGGGGGAGCTGGGAACCCCTTCCTGCCGCGCCCGGCCCGGAACCCAGGGGGTGGTTGTATCCACTTTACGTGGAAAGCAGGTACGATGTAACATGGGCAGATTTGGTCAGGTTTAAATATTTTCGGGGGACAAACAAATATTGAGCCTAGAGAATGAACAGTTACTGCCCAGACAGGCTGGATTTGTGTTGGTCACTGTCCCCGCATCGCCCTGGGGAGGTGCCCCAGCCGTTTGCTGCTGCCATTAGCGTTGGCCCCCGGGCCCGGGCGCCGCCAGGGCGATTCCCTCGCCGGTTCCCGGAGCAGCCTGGCGCTGGCACAGCCCCTCCAGCGCGGCTGCGATCCCATCGGCGGTAATTGCTTTTATAACAAGTCATTATTTTAATTTGCTGCTTTACTGCCGCGTTCGCGTTTCGGTCGCGGCGGGTGGGCGGAGGAGAGGAGCCGGGGAGCAGGAACGCCCGTCGG